TTTGCTGCTAATGCTCAATCAGGAAGCCTTTTCTTAAAGGAACTGTGCTTCTGCTTGCTTCTAGCAAACAAAGCCCACCCAAGAAAATGCTGCTACCAAGAAGCCACATTTAGCTCCTGTTTTTTTGTGGGTCTATTAGTCCTCTTTTTTTCTTAAGCTTCTTTTAGGTCTTATGTGAATCCATGCCTGAGATGGTGGGTAACATTTTGTAATAAAACTTATTCATAGCATATAGAAGGGAATCCCATATCAGATCTCTGAATTCGAGCTCAGCTTGGTCTACAGAGTGAGTTTCAGGACAGTCAGGACTGTTACATGGAGAAACTCTATCTCAAACACCCCTCCGCCCAAAAGAAAGAAAACAGAAAAAAGGTAAACGTTTTATAAAGAGTTTTCAATTTTCTTTTCTTTCTTCCTCAAAGAGACAGGGTTTCTCTGTGTAGCTGTAGCTGACTTACAGAGCTGTGGCGTTGAACTTCCGGAGATCCACTTCTCTCTCCCTCCCTCCCTTGCTCCCTACAGAATTCTCATCCTATGGGTTGGGGGAGTCTAAACAATGTCCTACCCCTTCCTCATAAGGTCCAAATGACAAAGTTTGATTCCATCAAAGTCTACCCTGGCTAACTAAGGAGTTTATTAGGGTTACTTACAAAGCATGAATGAAGAGTTAAAAGCAGGAGCCTCGGTGACCCTAAAACAGCCACATTGGGAGGTCTGTACCCAGCATGGATGAAAACTAGCCCACAGGCTGCATGGCTAGTGCTTCCTTCCTAGTCCTTCACAGCCTGGATACTCTACCTCCTCCCTAAATCATGCACAATTAGGACAGAATTGCATATAGTCAGTTGGGAGGAGTGGCTGGATTCTCAGATGAGGGTCCTTTAGCCCTCTCATCCCTCCTAGAAGGGAATGTTAACAATCAACAAGCTTAGCTGTGATGGTCTTCTGGAACTGGGCACATCTGATCTGAAGATGGTGGCAGTTAGGCTTGGGAGATAACCCTATATAATATACACATTGAGTTCTTTTTCTCAAATTTACCAAAGATTAGGTCCTGCTATTTTATGACATACAGTTTTTGGATATATACAATAATTGTAGTACTAATTTTTTGTTTTGTTTTGTTTTTTGAGACAGGGTTTCTGTGTGTAGCTTTAGAGCCTGCCCTGGCTCTGTAGACCAGGCTGGTCTCGAACTCACAGAGATCCACCTGCCTCTGCCTCCTGAGTACTGGGATTTAATGGTGTGAGCCACCACCACCTGGCTCCAAAGTCTCTTAATGGTAAGTATATCTCTTTTTTTTCACTATCACGAGCTTATTGTGTCAGAAACAAACATCATCTGTGTCTTTTCACATCAGAACTTATTGACTAACAATCCATTCACAAAGTTATTTGTTAGATTTGCTGCAACTTACCAAGAAATCTTGAATTCAAGTATGTGGATCCTAGCAGTCATAGGTCCTTTTATTCCAGAATTAGTTACTGGCATTAACTCTTAGCTCATACATTACCCTGTCGTATGTTTACACAGATTACATAATGGCCATAAGAGAGGAACAGATGCTGCAGAGTTCTGAGAGGCTGTCCTCAAGTTGAACTGATACAATCTTAATTCAAATCCTGCAGGGGCCATAAAAAGTCATACTAGGCACAGGTTCAGGGTTGTCAGCACAGGCCCAGGCGTCTGGAGTGGAGAGAGCAGCATAAGATGAAGAAGCTGGAGGCTTTCACTTTAGCCAGTGTCTTACACGAGCTCCCGACAAGTGATGGTCAAAATGGAGGAACTCTATACAGTTCCCCGTGTGGGATGCAACATATGTAGAGTTCATACATAGAGTCTCTGCTTTGATTTGATACAGTCACAGGCAGTGTTGTTTATTTGCACAAATCAAATGATTTGTCAGTTGGTACAAGCTGGTGCCCTGACAGACAATAGTTAATGACTTGTGTGAACACAACATAGTCATTTTTCCTTGGCACTTGGCTTCAAAATGTGGTCTATGTGTTGCACAGCCTGACATCAGCAATTGTACACAACAGAGTAAGCTACCATCCAGACCCAACTTATTCTGTTTTTCTAAAAAAGCAGTTTTTAGTTGTTTGAGAATTTCATATAACATGTTTTGATGCTATTACCCTCCTTCTCCAACTCTTTCTAGATTCATACCCCCATTTCCTTCCTACCCAACTTTGTAAAACTAAGTAGACCAGGCTGGTTTCCCATTCAAAGAGATCCACCTGTCCTAGCCAGAGCGCTGTAGCTATTAAGCCTGTCCTGGAACTAGCTCTTGTAGACCAGGCCTGCCTCTGCCTCCCAAGTGCTGGGATTAAAGGCGTGTGCCTCCATTGCCTGGCTTGTGATCTCTTTTTTCTTAAAGGAGCATCAGGCCCCATGGGTTGGGGCCCACCTGTATGATTTCATTTAGCTTTAATTATTTCTGTAAGTATTATAATAACTACCTCTCCAAATGCAATCAGAGTGCACATGAGGCACACAACTTAATCCACGACTAAGACAGTGCTTAGTCCAAACTCTTCCTGAGATTTTTTTCCAGTCCCCATTGCTCTCCTTCCCAGGAAGATTAAGACAGATTAAGATTAAAGGTGTGTCCTTCCATGCCCAGTTTTCCCTCCATGCTTGGGTGATATTTTCACACACAAATCTGACAACATTTCAGTTAAAATCTCTGGTGGCTTTAAACCCTTCAGATTAGTGAGTCTTTATTTTGCTCCCTAGTTTGCCATTTCACAGATTCCTGGCCACTGACTGGTCACTGCTTACCCAATGCTTCCTCCCTTTCAAGGTCATGCTCTAAATCATCTCCGGGATACGATTCTGACACTTCTAAGCAGGACTGACTTTTAATACAGGATCTTTTAAGGTGTATAAATATCCTTGCAGTGATTAGGAAAGAGATGAAATAGGATTAAAGATTTTAATATGGACTGGGGAGATAGCAGCCCTGGAGACTTCACACAGAATTCAAGACGTGTAAGTGAGGAAGACATAGGTCTTTCTTAGGACACAGCAATGTCCAAATATGTTTCCTGGGGAGAGTTTCCTGGGTAGGCTTAGAGTAAGTAGGCATAAATCCCAGCAAGTCACACTGTGACTGAGCATTCAGTGTGATATGAAGGTAAGCATGGCCAGTCAAATGGAGGGCAGCTAGCTATTAGAGGGGTGGGCATTGGGCAGCAAGTGTAGAACCCCCATACTGAAAACCACTGAGTGGCTGGAGAGATGATTCAGGGAGGTAAGAGCACTAGCTGCTCTTCCAGAGGACCTGGGTTCGATTACCAGCACCCACACAGCAGCTTACAACTGTCTGTAACTCCAGTCCCAGGGGGATATGATGGCCTCTTCTGGCGTCCTCAGTATATACATGGTACTCACATAGTACACTGACATATATACACAAACAAAAATCCATACACATAAAAATAAAAGGAGATCGAGAGTGGGAGAGGAAGAGGGACTCCTGAAGGAGGGCTGCAGAGCTGGCTCAGTGGTTAAGAGCACTTGACTGGTGTGGGTCCATGGTCTGTATTCTGGCAATTATATTTTAAATAAATGCTGATTGGCCAGTAGCCAGGCAGGAATTATAGGCGGGACAACCAGACAGGAAGTAGAGGGGGGTCAAGGAGAATAGGAGAATGTTGGAAAGAAGGAAGCCTATTCCTCTGCAGTCCTGACCCGACCACAGAAGAAGCAAGATGTGACTGCCTCGCCGAATAAGATACAAATGGCTAACACAGATAAGAATAATGGGCTAATAATGGGCTATATAAGTTATAAGAGTTAATAAGAAGCCTGAGCTAATGGGCCAATCAGTTTATAACTAATGTAGACCTCTGTGTGATTTCTTTAGGAGTTAATGATTGTGGGAACTGGGCAGGACAGAAACCCCTACAACACTTGGCTGCTCTCCTAGAGGACCAGGGCTTAATTCCCAACATCCACATGGAGGCTTAAAACCATACCTAACTGTGGTTTCACAGCCAACACACCCTTTTGGCCTTCTCTGGCACCAGACACATACACGGTACATACATATACAGTCAATTATAACATTCATGTGCATAAAATAAAACTTTTAGTGGTGACTACTGAACCCTATTTCTAGCACGAGAAAGTACAATTTATGGTCAACATAGATGCCAAGCAACATACAATTGTAAAAACTTACTACATTAGCTAGGTGTGGTGATGGACACAGTACGTGGGAGGCCATGGTAGGAAGATTCTCAACTAGAATGCAGCCCAGGCTACACAGAGACCTTGCCTCAAAAAAGGGGGTGCGGCTGGTAATATGGTTCATTTCCCATACTAAAGCACTTGCTGAGCTGAATTCCCAGGAATATATGGGGTGTGTGTGTGTGTATGAATGTCCATGTATGTATGTAGAGGCCAGTGGCCAACCTCACGGTCTTCCTCAATGATACAACCATCTTTTTTGAAAAGCTCTCTTAATCTGGAACTCACTGATTCAACTAGGCTTGATTTGGGAACCTTCCTGTCTCTGCCTACCCAGTACTGCTAAGTGTGCCACAGCTTTTTTGTTTTGCTTTGTTTTTTAAAACAGGATCTCACTAGGTTTACTCTGGATGGCCTAGAACTCACCATGTGGCCCAGGCTGGCCTTGAATTCAGGTTCACCAGCCTTGGTCTCAGGAGTGGTGTGACTGAAGATGCGTGCCAACACACTAGGCCCAGATCCTTGAGTGCCGAGGATGGAACGGGGGGGGGGGGGGGGGGGGGGGGGGCGGGGAGCATAAGATAGCCACTCAAAACGAATGCTTGTTTTCTCACTATACATCCGAGCACGCTCTTGCTACACCTGACCACAAGCAGGATACCAACAGGCCTTTCCCCGAGCTTCTGGGGTAGGGAGGGCCACAGCACCTAAGTACCCGGTGGGCCTGACCAGGGCTGCAGCCTAAGGGGCCTGCGGCCTACAAGGGGAGGACGACGACTACCAGTGACAGACAGGTGACTAACCAAGGAGATGGCGGATTCCAACAGTCAGCATGACGCCCCAGAGCAGGCAAGGTGGGGGCAGCAGCCTCATCTTCTTCCACGGCGAGAGAAGGCAGCATGGGAATTGTTGAAGCTTCGCTTCGTGCCTCTCCTCACCCTAGAAGAGCCAGCCTAGCCAGTCTCACGTCAGCGTCTCGTCCGTCACGTGACCGCGTCCATGAGCTTCGCGGGCCACGCCTGCGCAGTTGTCTCTCGTTGCCCCGCCCCTCAAGCGGCCTGTCCCTTCCACCCTAAAGGGAGCTCTAGCCGCCTGGAGTGGCCACGTGTGCGCCTGCGCGCTCCGAGACCGCCCTCCAAGTGACGTGAGAGCTCACTCGGGCCGCGTCTCTCATCTCCGGCTCCCGTAATCTGCTGTGATGGCTGCCGCGGTCCCTGGCGCCGTTTCCCTCTCCCCACTGCTGTCTATTCTCCTGAGCCTGTTGCTCCTCTCTGCTCCTCATGGCGGCAGCGGCCTGCACACGAAGGGCGCCCTTCCCTTGGACACAGTCACTTTCTACAAGGTAATGAGGACTGGGGGAGTCGTGCGCAGGTGCAGCTAGACTCCCGTGGGCGCGTGCGCTCATGAGGACGTTGGTCCCCGAGGGGTGGCAAGCAGGCACTCTATAGGAACCATCCCTAGATATCCCACCATCCTATAGGCCCAATGTAGGCAGAATAAGGGCGCACGCTAATCACTCGGAACCCTTGTCTTTGCTTTGCAAGCCGGCTACTCGCTACCTCCTTCTACAAAAGAGCTATGCAGTCAAGGGACCTAAATGTTCCTTCCCTTTATCTATAGGGAAAAGACAATGCCGGGAAAGATCCAATCCACGAGTCCCAAGTGGAAGATTGAAGGGCGGGGCGAGGTCGACGCTCTTGGGCTCCTTGGTGGGTGGGGGTGGCGAAGAAAATTAAGCACGTTAACATGCAAGTGTGCTCCCCCTCTTCTCTGAGGATGGATGCCTGCTTGACAGTGTGCCAACGTGCAAACCATATGATAGAGCGCGGACCCCTACAAAGTGCAAGGGTTAAAAAGGTGCACTTCTGACACCTGTGGAAAGCATGTTCGGGCAGAGAAAGAAATGAACAAAAACCAGGTCAAAGCACGGAAGAAGCGCCACTAGCCCAAGCCCCACCCCCCCAAATGTGGTATCCAGGTCTGGGTAAATGAATGGTGGCAATGTTGGAAGCTGAATGCAGTGGACGGTGTGGACCCAACCTTTTCCTCACGCATCTGTCCCAGACCCCAGCAGTTTTCACTTCCTCTATTGGGCAATCTAAGTGTGGAGAGAAGTAGTCATTTTCTTATTTTGTTTTCATAGTGAGGAACTGAAAATCAAAAGAGAACTAAATGAGCCTGTCTCGAGTGGTTGGACACGTCCGTTTTGGACAGGGTTGCTGTTTGAAAAGGATCCTGCATACATGTAGCCCATTCAATGTCCTTAGGAATTAAAAAAAAATGTCTACCATATTATTAATCACCCACTCAACCCTATATAGCAATCTACTCTCGATACAGCAGTCCAAGTGTGAACAAGGCATTTAGCACCATAAGTTTAACCGGTCAGTGTTTACCATCTTTACCAACTGCTTCCCTGCTCTCATCACTGGAACCCCAATGGCCCCTGACTGCACCTTGAGATTCCACAATAGAATCCCCTTCTTACCTCTCACTTCCTAGCCATTTGCCCCCTTGTCCAATCTTTCCAGCCAGTACAAGCCTGACTTCCTAGCTCACAGCTGTTAGGACTTCGGCACTGTTCCTTGTGACTGGAACACTCCTTGCCAGTCTTTGAAACAAGTTACTTCACATTATTCTGTCTTAGGTTAAATATTACCCGCTTGGGGCCTTGCCTTGCTTTCCGGGCCCCCGTGACGGTCCCCCTCATTCATTTCTGTTGCTCCGTCACTATTTTCTTTAAACTTGTCAGTTTCAAATCTCCCATAGAACATTACAAGCATATGAAGCAGCTGATCTGTTTCTCTGACTCTCTACACGGCACACCAGATTATTCATTGAGCATCTGACAGTGGATCTGGTATGTTGTCTTCACGTCAATCAACAGGTGCCTCCTCTATTGCTTCCAAATTTTTGCCAGGAATCTTGTTACATGTTTTGTCTTTCAGTGATTTCCAACTAGAATGGGTTTTCTTCAAAGTGTTATTTTTGACCATCACTAAAAGGCTTCATTAGATGAAAGCCCCTATGCTGTTCATTGCTGTGTTCATTTAGAATGATGTCTGGGACATGATGGGCTTTTAACAGCTTCTTATATAGTGAACAAATAAATAAAGCCAGCCAGGCAAAGGTGTCAACACACAGTACTGAGGAGGCAGAGGCAGAAAGGTCATGAGTTCAAGGCCAGTATGGGTAACCTGATGAGATCTTGTTTTAAAAATCCCAGTGAAGGGGCCATAAGATGACTCAGCAGGAAGGCACTTCCACCAAGCCTGACCACTAGAGTTGGTGAAAGAAGAGAACTGACTCCCACACACATAACACATACATAACAGCACTACTGCATCCTGTTAGCTAAATCTCCTTTTTACTCCAGTGTCCAGCCACCCTATGATTATTGGTATTCGGTATTCTAAATGAGGTCCCCTGGTAGGGAGCCTGTGCTGTGTTTTTGAAACACCATCCCGCTTCTACTCACCTTGATTCCCAGCCACGCAGCATCAGCTCCCCAAGCCTGTGAGAGCTCTCTTCAGAACATTTTTCAGTGTATCTGTCATAAGACACTGGGACTCAAGGAGTGTACAAGAACAGGGGCATGGTCCTTATCCTTAGAAATCCAAGTGGGAAAGACAGAAAATGAGCAAATAATAAGGTTTCAGAGTGAGATGGGAGAGGGTTAAGGAAATGAAGTAATAGGAGATTGGATCTTCCTATTCACTAGAAGGGGACATTTAAACTGACCCTGGAATGACAGAGGCAGGACGAAGAGGCTTCCAGGCAGCAGAGTGGGACTAGTGTTGAGCAGAAACAAGGGCAGCTGGGCCACGGGGATATGAGCCGATTTATATTTTCAGACTTCCCTGCTGCTGGGCCCTTGGAGCTCTGACTTTTTAGTGTCAGTGACCTGTTCCCGATGGCTTTTGTCTTTGATGTCCCTAGGCAGTTTTAATATCCTTAAATAGGTAAAATAAAGTGTTAAAAATAATAAGGCCTTTTCACCACCAGCGATTGCCTGTGATGAAAATATGACAGTTTGGGACTGCGTGAAAGGCTGATGGAGGAGGCTGGGGAGAGGGCTTAGTGGTTGAGAACAAACACTGCTCTTGCACCCATGTCACGCAGCTTACAGCCTGTCATTCTCTAGCACAAGGTTGATCAGGCATCCTTTTCTGGCCTTCTTGGGTACCTGTACTCAGATGCACATAGCCACACATACATAACTAAAAATAATAAAAATAATGTTTTTTAATTTGAAAGTGGATAGGCACTATTATTGACCAAAGGTAATTAGATAAAATGTATACATTGAACGAAGCCACCAAAAGGAAGTCTTGGGCTCATCAGTAAGTTAAATATAGACTGACCATTATGGTTCCCTGAAGCTCCGTTCCCAGCAAACCAAAGGAATGGAATTTTGTGTGCTCAAACATAACATGTATGTTAACGCTTTTATTCCCAGGAGGCAGAGACAGACAGATCCACTTCATTAAATTAACTACCACAATTAAAATTCTGGCTTTGACAGTTTAAGACAGATGTAGCTAAAGGGAATGCTGGTCTTAGGAGATGGCATGGACTCAAGTATGGCCTCTTCATCAACCTTCTGACCTGAAATTGCTCAGTTCAGTTCAAACTCTGGCCTCTATGGCCAAAGCATCCTGAGTATTTGGTGTTTACTGACAAAGACCCCCTGAGATGTCAAGGACAGCAGTGGATGCTAATGTTTCCTTGGCATTGTTCAAAGACACTGGAAGGGAAGGCCTTAGGTATTTATGCACTATTCTATCTTATGTGGATGTGAACACATGCACACCCAGTGTGGTACCCACAAAGGAATCATATTCTAAGCTTTGGGGGAATCAGTGCATTCACACAGCTTGTCTCCTGTGTAGGCTCGTTTTCACTCTTTTTTTTTTTTTTTCTTTTTTGTTTTTCGAGACAGGGTTTCTCTGTGGTTTTGGAGCCTATCCTGGAACTAGCTCTTGTAGACCAGGCTGGTCTCGAACTCACAGAGATCCGCCTGCCTCTGCCTCCCGAGTGCTGGGATCACTGTTTCTTAAACAGAGGCCCCTTGGGAAGGGGAATTAGCCCTAAAAGTCCCTGAACACCTGACTTGCTCAGCTCTATGCGCCCACAGGTCATCCCCAAAAGCAAGTTTGTCTTGGTGAAGTTTGACACCCAGTACCCCTATGGTGAGAAGCAGGACGAATTCAAACGGCTGGCTGAGAATTCGGCCTCCAGCGATGATCTTTTGGTGGCAGAGGTGGGGATCTCAGGTACGGACAAGACCAGGATGACTGGGGAGGGGCTTGAGATGAAGGAAGGTGGGGCTCATTTCCCTGGTGGGTGGGGGAGTAATGCCCCTGAGCCATTCACTCGGAGAAACTGGTTGTGTAGTCTGTCAGGACCTAGTGCCTGCAGCAAGCTTAAGCGGAGCAGGTGCTGCCCATGGAACCAGAGATGATCCTATAGTTGCCTGAAGGAACAACTCCTCTTCCCAAACCTTCACCTCTCTGACTTCCTTAAGAACTGAGCACCTCCTGAAATGAGCCAGTGCCAACACTAATCGATGGGCAGTCTCTACGGCCATAGTCATAGGAAGACCTGGGAGGTCCTAGTGAATTTCTGGCAGTTTGGTAGCAGAGCTGGCTAGAACACTTCTCCAGGGCAATTAGTGGTGAGTTAACTCAATTTCCAGTCAGTTCCCTCAGAGCTTGGTGAATAATAACTGCAACAGAGCCAGCTTTCATCCTGTATCTACTATGTGCCAGGCCACTGTGCTGCTTTCCATGAGTTCTGTCCCAATACCTCTCTGAAAGAAGTACTATGGAACTATCACCTGTGTCTCGGACCAGTGGACTGATGCACAAGACTTAATGGTGCAGTTAAATGCCAGACCTAGGGGACTGGAGAGATGGCTCAGCAATTAAGAGCACCGACTGCTCATCCAGAGGACCTAGGTTCAATTTCAGGCATTCACATGGCAGCTCGCAACTGTCTGTAATTCAGCTCCAAGTGATT